GTAGAACTTCAGAACCCTGTAAACACTAAGTAGAACTTCAGAACCCTGTAAACACTAAGTAGAACTTCAGAACCCTGTAAACACCAAGCAGAACTTCAGAACCCTGTAAACAAAACTTCAGAACCCTGTAAACACTAAGTAGAACTTCAGAACCCTGTAAACACTAAGTAGAACTTCAGAACCCTGTAAACACTATGTAGAACTTCAGAACCCTGTAAGTAGAACTTCAGAACCCTGTAAACACTAAGTAGAACTTCAGAAACCTGTAAACAAAACTTCAGAACCCTGTAAACACTAAGCAGAACTTCAGAACCCTGTAAACACTAAGTAGAACTTCAGAACCCTGTAAGTAGAACTTCAGAACCCTGTAAACACTAAGTAGAACTTCAGAACCCTGTAAACAAAACTTCAGAACCCTGTAAACAAAACTTCAGAACCCTGTAAACACTAAGCAGAACTTCAGAACCCTGTAAACAAAACTTCAGAACCCTGTAAACAGAACTTCAGAATCCTGTAAACAGAACTTCAGAACCAGGTAAGCCCTGTAACTGAGTCATCAGGAGCATCTAAAACAGCATTAGAACCTGAAACTGGATCTTCAGAACACTGTAGAACCTGTGTTTGTAAAAGGACGGTGTAGAACCTCTGAACAGCTGACCTGAATGCAGCTAAGCTCTAATGAAGATGTTCTCTGATCAGATCGATGGTACTGATGGCTCATCTGGTACCWGAAGCTAACACATGCTAACACAGAGGGCTGATGATAGCCGGCTGTCTGCTGATGTTTACGGGCTCCAGGAGGCCCCCTCTCACCAACAGGCTGTTAGCTGCACTCCGTGCAAAAACACAGCAGCTAGCAGCTAGCTGTTAGGATCGGTCTGTGTAAAAATAAAGTAATTAGCAGCTAACTGTTAGCATCAGTGCATGTAAAAACACGACAATTAGCAGGTAGCTATTAGCTTCGGTCTGTGTAAAAACCCAGCAGTTAGCTGTTAGCCTCGGACAGCTCCGTTCACTTCTCATAACATTAGCATTAGCATTAGCATTAGCTCGGGCTTCACCACCGCCCCGCAGGAACCGCTGTTGACAGGCGGACAGCGAGCTTGGACAGCGCCCGAACAGAACCGGAACCTGCATGTCAGAAACGCTCAGGTTCGGGGGAAAGACGGAGGAAGGTTCTTACTGATTTGATGCGGTTCTCTTTTTTCTGTCCAGCTTTCAGCCGAACTTAGAGCGACGTGTTTGATAGTGAACTTCTCCCACAGATCACATCCGCTTCCCCGGTCTGCCGTGACCCGGTTCTCCGTGGAAACATCCCCGTGGGCCGTAGAGCCGGAGGAACGCAGTCTGCGAGCTGAAAATCGGTGAAGAATTAAAGTTGAAGCGGCCGCTCCGTCATGGAGGCCATGTTTGGGAGCGACCGAAGTACTGCCTGTCAGCACCAGCAGGAGAAGTAGATCCAAGAAAACACTCTCTGCCGAACCGCAGGTCCAACCGGAACCTGAACAAATTTAACTCCGAACACCGAGATTAAAGCAACATTCGATCCAAGCGTGGCCCGGTTCGGTGTCAGTGTGAGTTTGTTCGGYGTCGTACTCGGTTCGTTTGTGTTGTGTAAAAAGTGTGTGACCCCGCGGAGGGATACATCAGAGGGCTGCTCCTGTGAAGTGGTCTGTCATCAGACCGGAGAAACCCGGACCGGATCTGAAGGACCCGGACTGGAGCAGGCTCGAGAAGCCTGGACCGGATCAGAGGACGTGGACTGTTTGGTGATCAGTAACCACTCAGCCAGAAGGGGTTATCTGCAGAATCGAAGTGGGCGTGTCACAAGAGTGGGCGTGTCTAAAGCATAAACACTGTGGGCTACGAGG